ACCTTCAGAGAATCATCCACATAAACTCTGAAGTCCCTCTGCTCCTGTACTCTCCTCAGTGTTGTATCACTGAGCCTGTATTTTCTCTTTATGTTTCTTCTACCAAAATACATTAGCTAACATTTCTCTGCATTGAAGTTCATCTGCAAGGTGTCTGTCCATTTCGCCAACTTGTCAATGTCCCTCTAAATACACTCAGCATCATCCTCACATTTCACTATTTGCCCTAGCTTAGAAATTTAGAAAATTTGCCCATCTCCAAATAATTTAAATAAATAAGAAAAAGCAAGAGTCCCAACACCAATCCCCGGGGAACACCACTTTCAACTCATTTCCAATCTGAGAAATGCCCATCTATATCAACCCTCACTTCCTCCTATCTTATCTAACTTCTAGAACATAGAACAGTACAGCACAGTACAGACCCTTTGGCCCACGATGTTGTGCCGAACTTTTAACCGAAACCTAAGGTCTGTCTAACCTCCACCACTACGTTATACTATCATCGAATTCTAATTGATATTCAATCGATATTCTAATCCATGCTGCCAAGGATCCACCAATCCCAAATATTTCTAATTTGCCTGCCAACCTGCCTTGTGGAACAATGTCAAATACTTTCTGAAAGTCTAAAAATACAACATCTACAGCACTACCATCATAAACTGCTTGAAAAACTCAATTAAATTGGTCAGACATGATGTGTCCTTGACAAAGCTATGTTGACTGTCTAGTATTAATGTATATTTCTCTAAGTGTATATTTACCTTAGCCTGTATTATGACCTCCATCAGTTTTCCCACTATTGATGTCAAGCTGTCAGGTCTGTAGTTTCCTGGGTTATCCTTTGCCCCCTTTCTTAAACAAAGAAAATTACAGTACAGGAACAAGCCCTTCGGCCCTCCAAGCCTGCACCGACATGCTGCCCATCACAACTAAAACCCCCTACCCTTCCAGGGACCGTATCCCCCTCTTCACATCCTGTTCATTTGTCAAGACGCCCTTTAAAAGTCACTATAGTATCTGCTTCCACTACCTCCCCCTGCAGTGAGTTCCAGGCACCCACCATCTTCTGTATGAAAACGCTTGCCTCGTACATCGCCTTTAAACCTTGCCCCTCGCACCTTAAATCCATGGCCCCTGGTAACTGACTCTTCCACCTGGGAAAAAGCTTCTGACTGTTCAGTCTGTCCATGCCCTTCATAATCTTGTACACCTCTATCAGGTCGCCTAACTAATGCAGCCTAACTAAGGTTCTATAAAGCTGCAACGTTACCTGCCAATTTTTAAACTCAGTGCCCCGGCCGATGAAGGCAAGCATGCCGTATACCTTGTTGACTACCTTTTCCACCTGCGTTACCACTTTCAGTGACCTGTGTACCTGTACACCCAGATTCCTCTGCCTATCAGTACTCTTTAGGGCTCTGCCATTTACTGTATATTTTCCATCTGGATTAGACCTTCCAAAATGCATAACCTCACATTTTTCCAGATTAAACTCCATCTGCCATCTCTCTGCCCAAGTCACCAACTGCTGTATCCTTTGACGGTCCTCATCACTATCCGCAATTCCACCAACCTTTGTGCCGTCAGCAAACTTACTAATCAGACCAGTTATATTCTCGTCCAAATCATTTATATATATTACAGACAGCAAAGGTCTCAACACTGATCCCTGAGGAATACCACTAGTCACAGCCTTCCATTCAGAAATGCACCCTTCCACTGCTACCCTTTGTCTTCTATGACCGAGCCAGTTTTTTATCTATCTTGCAAGCCCACCGCTGACCCCATGTGACTTTACCTTCTGTATCAGCCGGCCATGAGGGACCTTGTCAAAGGCCTTACTGAAGTCCATGTAGACAACATCCACTGCCCTACCCTCATCAATCATCTTTGTCACTTCCTCAAAAACCTCAACCAAGTTAGTGAGACGCAACCCCGCTTCACAAAACTGCGTTGCCTCTCGCTAATACGCCCATTGATTTCCAAGTGGGAGTAAGTCCTGTCGCAAGAATCCTCTCCAATACTTTCCCTACCACTGACGTAAGGCTCACAAGCCGGTAATTAGCTGGATTATCCCTGCCACCCTTAAACAAAGGAATAACATTGGCTATTTGCCAATCCTCTGGGACCTCCCCTGTAGCCAGTAAGGATACAAAGATTTCCCTCAAGGCCCCAGCAATTTCCTCCGTTGCCTCTCTCAGTATTCTAGGGTATATCCCATTAGGCCCTGGGGACTTGTCTACCTTTAATGTTTTTCAAGACCCCCAATACCTCCTCCCTTTTGATCTCAACATGACCCAAACTATCTACACACCCTTCTCCAGACTCATCATCCACCAAGTCCTTCTCTATGGTGAATACTGATGCAAAGTACTCATTTAATACCTCTCCCATTTCCTCTGGCTCCACACATAAATTCCTTTCCCTGTCCTTGGGTGGGCCAACCCTCTGCCTGGCTACTCTCGTGTTCTTTATATATGTATAAAAAGCCTTGGGATTTTCCTTAATCCTGTTGGCCAATGACGTTTCATGACCCCTTTCAGCCCCCCTGACTTCTTGCTTAAGTTTCTTTCGACTTTCCTTATATTCCACCCTTGCTTCATGTATTCCCAGCCTCCTACACTTGATAAATGCTTCCTTTTTCTTTTTGATTAGACTCACAATATCTCTCGTTATCCAAGATTCCCTAAACTTGCCATACTTATCCTTCATCCTTAAAGGCACGTGCCGGTCCTGAGTTCCCAGCAACTTACACTTGAAAGCCTCCCACATACCATTTGTTGATTTGCCCTCAAACATCTGCGTCCAATCTATATTCTTCAGTTCCTGCCTAATATTGTTGTAATTAGCCTTCCCCAGTTTAGCACCTTCACCTGACAACTACACCTACCTTTATCCATCAGTACTTTATAGCTTACTGAATTGTGATCACAGTTCCTGCGCTGCTCACCTACTGAGACGTCGACCACCTGGCCTGGCTCATTCCTCAATACTAGGTCCAGTACGGCCCCTTTCCTAGTTGGAGTATCTACATACTGTTTCAAGAAGCCCTCCTGGATGCTCCTTACAAACTCTGCCCCATCCGAGCCCTAAGCACTAAGTGAATCTCAATCAATATATGGGAAGTTAAAATCACCCACGACAACAACTCTGTTACTTTTACATCTTGTCAAAATCTCCCTGCATATCTGTTCTTCTATTTCCTGCTGGCTGTTGGGAGGCCTATATAAATGTCAAACATTGTGATTGCGCCCTTCCTGTTACTGAGCTCAACCCATATTGCCTCGCTGTATGAGCCATCCAAGGTGTCCTCCTGCAGTACAGCTCTGATAGGCTCCTTAACAAGTAGTGCAACTCCCCCAACCCTTTTATATTCCCCTCTATCCCACCTGAAACTTCTGTATCCTAGAACGTTAAGCTGCCAATCCTGTCTCTCCCTTAACCAAGCCTCTGTAATAGCAACAACATCATAGCTCCAAGTACTAATCCAAGCTCTAATTTCATCTGCCTTACCTGTTACACTTCTTGCATTGAAACAGACGCACTTCAGTCCACCAGATCCACTTTGATCAGCAACCACACCCTGCTTGCTCTTCCTTTGAGTCTTACTGGCTCTATTCTCTAGTTCCCTTTCAGTCGATTCACCTTTGCATTGGTTCCCACCCCTGCCCCGTGCTAACCAATATGACAATGGTGCCATATTTACGATCCTCTAAACTCCCCAGGTTTGCGTCTGTGCTCAGAGAGGCCTGGAAAGTTTCTGTCATTCTGTGGTTTACTATTGCCTTCTTCTTTCAGAGTTATGATCACAAGATGAGTCCCAAATCTCCCTTGGCTAGATTGAGAATTGAACCTACACTTGTGGCATTAATTTGAACAACACACTAGCCATCTAGCGAACTGGTCACCATTACACAACTCTCGGCAGCTTATAGTGGTGATTGGTCACAGATGGCATTGACTTGTGCGTGAGAAGACTTATTGTCCTGAGTACAGCATGAATCAGTGCATGAAGGAAAGGAAGAAATACCTGGTGTGTAATACATCTGGCACTGCACTCATTTTAAGTACTAAATGCTTACTATATGCTTTGTTTTAAAAAAACTTCTGCACCGCTCCTCGGCTGACTGAATGAGTAAAGGTATCATCTCATCAGCACCTAAATCATTTCAACAGAGAGGTTTCAGTCCTTGTAGATGGGAAGGCCCCAACTTTGAACCCTGGTCTGTATGAGTTCACTTGTCATCCTTTCCTCCTCCAAGATTCTGCAGTTCTCTTACCAGGTCATGGAAGTGAAAAATCAACCGCAACTCTTGGTTTCTGACTGCTGTCAGAAAGTCACTCCATGAGCGATTCAGGTACAAACTGAATTGGGAACAAACAGAAAACATGTCTGTTAAGACAATTTTACCAGAGGACTGTTGCACCTGGTAAGAGGCTGCACCTCTGAAGTGAGGGATTGGAAAAGTATGATAGCTGTAAAATTATGGATGTAGGACTTCAGGATGCAGTTGCCCTATTTGCTATTGAAGATTCAACCAATTTTAAAGAAATTTGTTTACATGCCAACCAAGGCAGGAAACGTGTGTCACGTACATGAGTTGGTACCCCTTGTCACCAAGCTCAGGAGTGTTCCCTTCAGTAGTAGACTCATTTGCTTGTTTTCAGATCAGCATAGAGTAAGATTCTGAAATTAGGGTTGACTCGTTTAATCAAGTGAATTAAGAGAAATGGCCTCAGACAGTCTGGCAAAACATGTATTTCAACGCTTCCTAAAGACCACATTCTAGTTAAGTAACTGATCTGAGTCAAGGTCTATACAGTAGCAAAAGATATTTTCCATCAGTTGAGAACACATTGAGAATGCAGAACTTCTGCCACCAAGGTTTTTGACATTTACTGCAGATTTGACTCTTCATTTGCTATATGATGTTAATTAAGCACTACGATTTCCACAATTTTTATGGAGTTCAAAGGATGCATTATTTTCACAGGTGAAACTTTGGTACGATAAAGTTGGCCACCAGCTGATAGTTAATGTGTTACAAGCCACGGAGCTTCCTTCCCGAGTGGATGGTCGGCCCAGGAATCCCTATGTAAAAATGTACTTCCTTCCAGATCGAAGGTGAAGATCAAAAATCACTTTCTAACAGTTCTCTCTGACTTAATTTTACTCTTCTTTTGTTTAGCTGAGCAGTCAGGATATGAGCATCTACATGATTTCAGAGAAGCTGAAGTTCATTTCTTATCTGGTTCCAAATGCAGAATGGTTGATGCAGCATCTGGACGTATGTATTGTAAATCATGAGGCAGTTAGGCCTACACATGAATTGTCACTCCACCACTGAGTAACATTAATTGCTGCTAAGCTGCCAGGTACTCTGTACAAAATGCTAGGTCTACAATTATATGTAAGAGTCATTTATGACACAGAAGGAGGCCATTCAGGCTATCAAGTCTTCTGGTTGTCTGTAAATTTCTGTTAACCCACTCTGTAAAATTTATTTCCTTCATATGCCGATCCAATTTCCTTTCGAAATCATTGATTGTCAGCCCTTCTACCACTGTCATGAGCCACAAGTTCCACATCATTGCCATTTATTACATTGAAAAAGTTCTTCCTCACATTTGTCCCCCAAAGCTTTATAAATTCAACATACGTCTCCCACTTTTGTATTTAATGCCTCTGTATATGAAGCCTATATGCTTTAGTTATACAAAACAGGGAGGTCATTGGTAGTAATAAATTGACTACTGCTTTCTCTCCTCATAAAAAAACAAGGACTTTGATTGTATTACTCCTTTTGGAACCAACATTATAAATTAGGCACTGTCAGAGTATGAGCACTCACTTTCCCCAAACCTTCTCAGTGAAAGGAAAGTAAGCAGCATCAAATCATCATGACCTGAACATTACTGTCACTCATTAAATCATTAGAAGTCATAGTAATTTGTATTGAAAGTAGTAATTTATGTTGAGAGAGGAGATTCTCCTTTAGGGCCCAATGTCATGTATTCTTGATAACCCCATGCCTCCTCCATGCCTCCTTTATCTCCTGATACACCTCTCATGCTTTCATACATCTTCCATATCTATTTACACGTATCCACCATGGACAGAACTCATCAGCCCCATAACAACATAGGAAGGAATTTGAAATGCTCGTGAAATAAATAATCATCCACTCAGGTGGCAAGCCTTTTAAAGCGTACCTGTCAAAAAAGTTCTTGTTTTCATAGCAATATTCTGATTTGGACACCTCATTCTGAGGCATCATTTGTAGGGCCTTGTTCTCTGCAAACAAAAGGAACGTTTTCAAACCTTATACCTTTTGAATTATTTTGGAGTTTTGAATTCCATGGCAAGACCTCAGCCAATCAGAGTTGAATTACCAACCAATCAACAGCTAGTTCCCTTGAAGCATAAGTTGACGTGATGGTATTGTTGCATTTGTCTTGATGAACGCAAGTTGAAAAGCTTCGAAGTCATATCCCTTTTCAGCAAAATTAGTCATTTTTGTTAGTGTAAAACAGAACATGTCCTTGGAAGTGAGCCAGTGGTCTTCCCATATATAATGGAAACTCGCTATATGTCACATAATTACTTTTCCCCAAATCAGTTCCTCCGGAACACCTTTTCGTCTCTGTTAATGTGCAACTGTGACATTGCGACTATCACACATAAGCTTGATCACACAGCCTGAGAAAATTTAACCTGAAGTGTAAGGTATAATTTTATAAATCATAGAATTGTGTAGCAAAGAAGGAGGCCATTTGGGCCATCCACCTGCACCTGTCATTTTGAAACTAATCCAGTTCGTTTCAGACTTTTTCCCTATGTACTTGAAATATATCATTCATGTATTTATCCAGTTCCATTTTGAAAACAGAGTGATTATGTCCACCTCACAATTAGGTGATACATTTGAAATCTGAACAACTTGTTATATAAAAAATTCCTTCTCATATCACCGCTGATTCTTTAGCCAGTCAAATTCAATCTCTGATTACCCACCATCCAGCCATTGAAAACTACTTCTCATTATTTACTGTATCAGAAACCGTTTATTATTTTAGATATCTCTATCAAATCAATTCATAACTTCTCTTCTAACAAGAGCAACCCCAATGAATGTATTTTATTCCAGATTGAAGCCTTAGAACATAGAACAGTACAGCACAGTACAGGCCCTTTGGCCCACGATGTTGTGCTGAACTTTTACCCGAAACCTAAGGTCTATCTAACCTCCACCGCTACCTTATACTATCGTCCATATGCCTATCTAATAGCCGCTTAAATGCCCCTACTGAGGCCGACTCCACTACCCTCTCCGGCAATGCATTCCACGCCCCTAGCACTCTCTGAGTAAAGAACCTACCTCTGACGTCTCCCCGATATCTACCTCCTTTCACTTTAAAACTATGTCCCCTCGTAAAAGCTACCTCCACCCTGGGAGAAAGTCTCTGGCTGTCTACTCTATCTGTACCTCTGATCATTTTGTACACCTCTATCAAGCCACCTCTCATCCTTCGTCGTTCTAAAGAGAAAAGCCCTAGCTCTCTCAACCTTTCCTCGTAAGACCTTACCTCCATTCCAGGCAACTTCCTGGTAAATCTCCTCTGCACCTTTTCCAACGCTTCCACATCTTTCCTGTAATGAGGTGACCAGAACTGGACACAATACTCCAGATGTGGCCGAACCAGGCTTTTGTATAGCTGGAGCATAACTTCACGGCTTTTGAACTCAATCCCTCTATTAATGAAAGCTAACACACCATACGCCTTCTTAACAACTCTATCCACCTGGGTTGCAGCTTTCAGGGAACTGTGAACCTGAACCCCAAGATCCCTCTGCTCCTCCACACTGCCAAGAATCTTTCCATTAACCCTGTATTCTGCTTTCAAGTTTGTCCTTCCAAAATGAATCACCTCACACTTTTCAGGGTTAAACTCCATCTGCCACTTCTCAGCCCAGCTCTGCATTCTATCAATGTCCCTTTGTAACCTAGAACAGCCCTCCACACTGTCCACAACATGACCCACCTTATCCTTTAATACATTAAAGATTCTTTAATTCACCTACTGAAGGAAGATGCTTCAGTATACTATGGAAGGGAAGAATGGGGCTGAGAGGACCTTGAGTCCAGCTTTTGTTAATTAAGACATTTTTTTCTCTCTTGTTCTCCTTCATGTTTCTAAATGATGCCGACATTTGAAACACATGAATGAGCAGAAGTTGTTCCAAATGGACTGTTATGTGTCTGATGGAATATTCCCTACTTAGCTGGAAGAGTGCAGCTCCAGCAACACTCAAGAAACTCAACAGAGCCAGGACAAAGCAGGTCACTTTTTTGATAGGCACCACATCTACGAATATCCACTCCCTGCACTAACAATGCTCAGTTGCAGCAGAGTGTACCTCCTACGAGATACACTGCAAAAATTTACCAAGGCTTCTTATCACTTTTCAAACCCACAAGAGTAGCCATATAGAAAGATAGGCCAGCAGATACGTGGGAATACCACTACCTACAAGATCTCTTCCAAGCCACTCACCATCCTAAAGTGGAAATATGTTGTCATTCCTTCAGTTGGTCAAAACTTTGGAACTTCCTCCTGAACGACGTTGAGTCATAGAGTAATTCAGCATGGAAACAGACCCTTTGGCCCACTCATCCATGCCAACCAGGCACCCTACATTGAACTAGTCCCATTTGCCTGCATTTGGCCCGTATCCTGTAAACCTTTCCTATGCACGTACCTGTCCAAATGTCTTTTAATTAAAAAAATGTCTGTTGTAATTGTACCCGCCCCTACCAGTTCCTCTGGCAGCTCATTCCATACTAGCACCAACATCTTTGTGAAAAAATTGCCCCTCAGGTCCCTTTTAAATCTTTCCTCTTTCACTTTAAACCTATGCCATCTAGATTTTGACTCCCCTACCCTCGGGAAAAGACCTTGGCTATACACTTTATTTATGGCCCTCACTGTTTTAGAAATCTCTAGAAGGTTACACCTCAGTCTCCAATGCTCCAGGGAAGAAGTCCCACCCTATTCAGCCTCCTGTTATAACTTAAACCTTTCAGTTCTGGCAACATCCTTGTAAATTTTTTCTGTACCATTTCTAGTTTAACAATATCCTTCCTATAGCAGAGTGACCAGAATTATACCCAATATTCCAGTGTTGGCCTCACAAAAGTGTCTTGTACAGCCACAAAACATGACATCCCAACTCCTATACTCAATGCCCTGACCAATGAAGGCAAGCATGCCAAATGCCACCTTCACTACCCTGTCTGCCTGTGACTCCATTTTCAAGGAACTATGAACCGGTCCCTCTATTCAACAACACAGCCCAGAGCCTGACCATTAACTGTATAAGTCTTGCCTGCTTTTGCCTAACCAAAATGCAAAACCTTGCATTCGTATAAATTAAACTCCATCAGCCAGTTATTGGCCCACTGGCCCATCTGATCAAGGTCCTGCTGTACTCTGAGATAGCCTTCTTCGCAGTCTTCTTCACTATACCACCCTGGTTTAATCTGCAAACTTACTAACCATACCTCCTGTATTCTCAATCAGTGATTCAAATAGGCAGCTTACCACCACCACCTTCGCAAAATTAGTGTTGAGTAACAAATACTGGCCCAGCCAGTGATGCCCACATCCTGATCTGAATACAAAATAATTGATTCCTTTTTTTGAACAAACCTGGCTTTACCTGTTTATAGGATATGGTATTGTTCTGTCGTTTGATCTCAGTCAGGAAAATGTTGCAACTAGCTGCAGCTTTCTGTAGCTTCCCCAGATCCTATAGATTCTAATGAAATAAAGTAATGTGTTGGCTTGTCCCTGAGAGAGAGATTCTGATTTCATGCTTGTGACATGATTACAATCTCCTATTTCTACCTTTAACATCACCCAGCTAGTCACTTTCTCATCTGTGCCTTTGTTGTCTCTGGACTGGATTAGAGATAGAGACTCCAAGTTGGTCTCTGAAAACCTATCTTCCATAAAGATGAGGCTATCCAAAGCTCTGCCTGTGTTTTAATATCACAGTAAGCTCCATTCCCCTAGCACTCATGATCATTGAACTTCATTGGCAATGGCTTAATTTTACAACTT